AGCCAAGCCACTCATGCATGAAGTTTAACGTCATCAAAGTTCAAACTCTTTGACTTTACTCTGGAAGAACGTGTCATTCCAGCTGTAAATTTAATAAGTTTATGCGTTAAGTAAAATATTTTAACCTATATTTTATTTTTATTTAGTTTTATTTAATTTATAAATTTTAGTTTATAATTTATTTATTGGTAATTTTCTTGTTTCTTAATAGTGAAAATATATTTATCTTCTCCATTTATTTTAGTTATTTAGGCTTAAAATTAGGAGTCTTAGTAGTCTCAGTATGGCTTTAATAATATTCCTTTTATTTTTTTTTTTTTAGGTTTCATTTTTTTGGACTTGAGTGCTTTGGAATTCTTGGAAAGGTAAGTAAACATACCTTTTTTAGTGAAAATTGTTATTAGTTACTAATATTCCTTTTGTTTTTTTTGTAGATTTTGTTCCTATACGTCTTAAATTTTGGATTACTTTAAAGTAACTATGCGAATAGAATTTTTTAAGGCTGTTAATAAAAATTTTTAATTACTAACATGTTTGTTTTTTTTTCAGTAGATCTCAGTTTTAGGTACCTTGGGACTCTGACATGTGAATAGTTTTTTTATATTTAAGGATGTTAATAGATCATTTTTTTCGTTAATTTAATAGGTTTTGGTCCTTTTCTTTATAAATTATGTAAAAAATAGTGTTTTTTAAAAAATTAAATGGTTTCTAATGGTATTTATGTACATATACCATAATATTGATCTTGTAAATATCCCTCTCAGCCAGAAAAATTATTTTATACTGTCTTTTTTTGGTTTATTGAAAAAAACTTATAATAAAGAACGCGGCATTCCAAAAAACGGTTTTTTTATTAATACAAAGCCCGTAAATTTAATTATAGAATTTTGACGATTTTATCCTGCTGAATGGCGATCTTTCCCTTAAATATATTATAATTTGCATTTATTTATATAAATTTACTTTAAAATATTTATTGCAATTTTCGAATTATTGAGAAAAAAAAAATGTTTTTTTTCAAAAACTCACGAAAACAGTAAATTTTATTGCATTTTTAGATAGAGAAGGTGTGATTATAACCTGAAAATGTTAATTTTAGAGCAGAAAACTTAATTTTTCGGTAAGTTTGCATATAAGCGACTTTTGAGATTTTGTGTAACCTAAAAGTTCTCTATAAGTAAACTTACCTAAGAGTTGGATTTTTCATCCTAAAATTAAGGTTTTCATGTTATAATCGCACCTTCTCCTTCCAAAATACAATAAAATTTACTGTTTTCGTGAGTTTTTGAAAAAAATCATTATTTTATTTTCCTATTTAAACTGTTTTTAGTAATTTGAAAATTGCGATAATGAATTTTTAATAAAAATTCATTATATAAGTTAAAAAAATTCATTATAGTATTAGTGAATTTTTTCATAATAATGTCAAATTAGCATAGACATCAAATTTGTTATAATGTAAATTAACTGTAATAAGTTAATATTATTGAATATACTGTATATATTATATAATTTTTTTTAATCAAACTTTTGCCCTTTTTTATAATGGTCTATAATTGGCATTAATTTGCATTGTATGGTATTAAGAAATATTTATATTTTTACAGTATAGATTAATTTACTATACTGTATAAATAAAATAACCAGAGTATAATTTTACCACTTTGGTTAAATGAAATTAACTTTCTAAATTAATTAAAAATTGCTTAACAAAATTAAAACTACTTGTATTAGTAAATTAATAGGTAGGTTAGCAGGTAAGCCCCTAGAAGGTATATAGAGCCAGTAAGACTAACCCCGTCCTATTCCCATTAGAAAAAATAGTAATTGAACAATGAGTATTGGGAATAAAGCGTATCCAAATAAGTTTAGAAGACAGTACTAATCCGTTTTCCTCTTTTTTGCCTCCTTAATTTTCATAAGTATAAGTTATAATTTTAAGATTTTTGGTTATTAAGCTAATTTTGTTATCATGATCATAATTGGCAAAGTAAACTGATAAAAAAAATTTTGATTAAAATTTAGATTTCCCCTTTTTTTACTAATCACTTTTCATATAGAGAAATCTATATTTTTTATAATGGTACTAACTTTTAAATTTTTTTTTTTTATTTACTAATTTCAGAACATAATTTTACCACTTTGGTCAAATGAAATCGATTTTCTAAATTAATTGAAAATTATTCAATAAAATCAATAAATATAATATATATAAAGAAATCTACATTTTTCATTTTTTATAAATATCAAATTATTATTTTTTTTTATTTACTAATTTTAAAGTGTAATTTTACTATTTTAGTCAAATTAAATTAACTTTCTTTATTAATTAAAAGTTGTTTAGCAGTATAAAAACTATTTAATACTTGTAAGATTTATTACATTTTTTATAATAATACTAATTTATAAATTATTGTATAATAAATCATATGAATTTTACCTCTAATGAATATTAAAATCACTTTTTTATAAAATATGTGAAATTATATTTTTATAATAAAATATATATTTATATAGAATTTAAAATTTATATGCAAATATGTAGTAATATATTCTCTTATATTATATTATATGTAAAGTTAAAATTAGTATTTTAAACTCTTTATTTTTATAAATAAATAGGTAAAATACATATAAAATATATTTTTTAAAGAATCTATAATAAATTTATAAGGTTTGCATCATGTTTATTTTTTTAAAAAAATATGATATATATTACATAATTATGAAATTTACTATATAATAATTTCCAAAAAAAAGGTCTTACAATGCTTTGTATAAAAATTATTATTTTCTTTTATATAATATAATACTTTATTATATATTTAAAAGGATTAAAAATTAGTCTTTTGTATAGTATTTAATATAAGAAAAGTATTTCTTTAAAACCTAAAAAATTAAAAAATAAAAAAAATCCAAAAATTGATAACTTTTTATTTTAGATAAAAGTAATATAAAGTATTTTTTAAAAGTTATTAATCTTTTACTACTTTAATTTTTTTTTTGATAAATTAAGAAAAATGTTATCTTGGTTTTTAAAAAAAAAATAAAAAGAAAGGAATAATTTGGTTTTATTTAAGAATAAAATTATTCAATATGTGAATTTATAATATTTCTAAATAAAAATAAAATCTGTATTTAATAAAATTTTATTATAATATAAAAGTAAACAATATTAAGCAACTTTGCATGCAATTTCTAATATAAATTTATGATGATAATCCTTCTTTGATTAATACACTGTTGTTGTTTCTAATCGCTTCCTTATTTGAGCATGTAAGTACCTTACTAGTTATTCAATTGGTAACGTTTCACATATTTGATTTACTTTTAAGATTATTGTGATCTAATTTTCCTTCGAAGTTTTGAACATGGCTCCTAAATATATTATAGGTATTAATTTAATATATTTTTCTTTTTTTTTAATTTGCAATTATTAATAATCTTTTTATTAAAAATTTTAGAACATATGGAAGATAATTTGCACGAATGGTGTCTATTGGAGTATTATCATATAGCAACCTTTATACATCCCTCCAATTTATATTTTACTAATTTATCAATGATAGCAGAGACATCATTTAAAAATTCAGAAATTCCAAAAGAAACTAATTTTATTACCGAGAATATTATAAATATGAATGTTCCAATGGATAAAATATGTCTTTTAGATCCTGCTTCTAATCAAGTATTAGAACCGACGGATGGTGATGCTTTTGAATATTTTTTATTTGGTGGGATTCTTGGAGACGATCCTCCCAGAGGTGAATGTTTAGATGTTTTAGAATAAATGTACTTTTAATCTCTATATTTATTTTTTCTCTGATTTCATCAATGATCAGATCGTACATCTGAATTAAGGCGTCTTGGATTTACTACGAGGAATCTTGGTGCCATGCAAATGACAACAGATACTGCTGTACACGTAACAAAGAGAATTGTAGATGATAGAGGTACTTTAGTCTTTTATTTGGAATAATATCCTTATTTTATTTGAATAATAACAATAATGATTAAATTTAAAGTACCGATTAATCAAATTCCTTATATTGATTTTCCTGAAATAAAAATTAGTAAAACTGAATCTGTGGTAATTATTCAAAACGTTCACAGCATTCTGTTTATTAATAATTGACAAATTTAGCTGAATTTTTTATATAATTCTTTAATACCTTTAGATTATGCCTTTTCGTTATATCGCTATACCTGATTCTCATAAATCTACTTTACAAACCACCGACAATGAAATGAAACAAAATATCGTTCCATTATTACCCTCAGGAATGATTGATTTATTAAAAAAAGACGGAGATATGGCATTTGAATTTTAAATATCTACAAAGCATCTAAACATTATAACTTGATAAGATATTTATGTGTACGTAAAATTATTGTGAAATTCTCGAATTTAAAATTTCCATCACCTTAACAGTTAATGATTATGAATTAAGGTGATTGAGAGCCAAACCCGTACTTCATATTCTTTTTATTCTTGCATTCTTTGCATTCCATGTGTTTTTAATCACTATTTTCATAAAATTTTCGTAAATGAATGTTTTGTAAAACAAAACGAGAAAAATTAGCTTACTCCACAATTATTTATACAATTAACTTCTTTACAAGCTCGTTAAAAGCGCAATCTTTTAAAAGAAAACGAGTATGGCACAGCATTTTTACGTTAATACTATTTTCAACCCTTTTCGAGTAATTTCTTTTAAAGATAAGTCAGATCAATATAATAATATCCTCAACAAGAAAAAAATGGTGTTTTCAAATGTGCACGAGATCTATACGCATTCTAGAACTTTAATATATCTCAATACAATTCCGTGCATTTACGCATTAAATATCGATACTTTTATTCCATGAAAAGATGTTACCAAATCCCAAAACAGAACGGAATGATTGTATTGGAGATGAAAAGACCAACGATAATGAATTATTACCACCATTCATATTATTTATATTATTTACAATTCTTTCTTGCTCATTTTTCATTTCAATCATACCGGAAACATCATCCTGTTGCATATAATTGTCTTCAACGAGAGTTTGGTTTAAATCTAATGAGGCAACATTTAATGCACTCTTAGTGTTATAGTTTGAGTGACTCCGTATCTTTTTTTCTTTCTTAACTTTTCTTGACTTGGCTTTTGTTTGTAATATTTGAGTAGTATTCTGAGTTTTAGGGTTCGACTTGCCTTCATTTTTTCTTTTATAAAGTTCCATCCTTGTTGCATTAGGCTTAAGCATCGACTTTACCGTATTATTACATTCTACGATGAAATTATTTGGTTCTGACTAAAGATAAAAAAACATAATATAAATAATGTTTATTAAAATAAATAAATCATGTAAGATAATAACTGCAACATCGAATCGTGTATTCCTACATTAATTTCCATCGGTTTATCATCAATACTATTCCCAATAAGGTCATCCTCTTTAGCTGAAGCATCTTGAATTTTTCTTCTCTTATTTTCGTTTGCTCGTAACTCAGTTTCATCTTTGTTTACCTGATTGGGACATCTTGATTGATCAATAGGTGTTTTCTTGACGCCAATTTTCAGTTTTCTTTTTGATGCAGAATCTTTCGTTTGAACAGCATCCGCTTTTGAAATAATAAAAGAATCATCTTGTTCAAGATTTTGGGCACGACGCGATCGTTTTGACGCGCGCCACTTCCCAAATACGGATCCATTTCTGGTCCTCCTAAGTAACGATGATTCATCCTGGATGGTCAAAACTTTTGCAGGAGATTCTAATTTCGTAATAGAACTATTTGACGGTTTTCTGCTGCCTTTCTTTTTGAGTGATCCAGAAAGATTTAAATTTTCGGTAAATTCTTGTTCTTTTGTTAATACAATTGGTTGTTCATAAGGTGAAACTTGCGTTTCACCTTGTTTAACCACTTTCTCAACAATAAAAGAATTAGTATTTTCAGAATCATTCAAAGGAGTTTGGATAATATTACTATTTGAATTAGCAGAACCAATATTTGTTTGTAATTTAAAAGTCTTTTTAGTTTCACAATCTGATTCCTTTTCTTGGTCTCTGTCATGTCCTCCAAAATCAATAGAGCCCAAAAGAGTATTAGCATTTATTGAAGAAGCTATAGGTTTATAAATAGACGTTTGAGAATTTGCCGAGTCTTTGGAATTTCTATTATAAATTATCTTTAAACGAGCAGGACTGCTTGAATTAGTCTTAACGGGTTCTGCAGTTGAAGTTTCAAAATCATTATCACGTGAATCAAACGCTGGTCTAAGTTTATTCGAAACTTTTTGTACAGCTTGAACGTAAAGAACAGTGAGTTTTTCGATTGTTATGTCCGACAATGAGATATCTTGGCCAGAGAAATTATAATCGTTAATCATCATAATTTCTGGAAGCGGATTAGGGTTAAAAGAAAGCCAAGACCTGAGGCTCTTTTCATAGAAAACTTGGTTCACGTTAAGACCGATCAGTTTGACCAAATATTTTGGGGATAAAGTGTTGCCATTTTGAGGAGTGGAAGTCGGTACTATACGCGCATAAGCGACTTTTCGCAACTTTGTTGTTACGTGCCTTTCAAGTACGAAAGCTGGCCAATATCTGATAAGTTTGTTTGTTATTATTGAGCTTTCGGACTCGTTTTTAACTTTTATTGAAATAGAGTTAATAATAGTACTCCACGGCACCCAAACATAGTCCCCAACACCAAATATTGTTATTATTTCATCAAGCTCAGACATTATATAAATAATTAAAATAAAAATAAAAAGGTACTTTTAGAAAGACGAGAAAAACTTTCGGGTGGCTAATTTATAGAACAGACTGTTTTGGGATATCCCGTGACAATTTACAATTTAGGTTTATTTATTTTTATTTTTTTTGTACACGAATTACACAGTTTGATTTCATAAAAGTCACATGGTATCTAAAAATTAATTGGTCCCGAAAATGTACATGATAAAAAATGTGTATTTGTACTTTGTAAATTAATATTTAATAATTTTTTTGAAATAATATTAAAAAGATTAAATTTTTTTTTTAATTAAAGTATATACCCAAGTTGTAGAGGAAAAACTATATATCATATTAATTTGGATAAAATATTTTATAATAGAAAAAATGAGTTTAGACAAATATAAATAATAACGATAATAAGATAGGATATAATAATTTTTTTTTTTTTTGATACTGTATAATACAAACTAGGGATTAAGCATCCATTCTAATAATATTTCTAAATTAAGTTTATAACAATAATATTTTGAATAGTATTTTTATATATATATATATATATACACATATATATATATATGAAATTTTGAAATTTACGATTGTTTCTCTTTTTCTAAAAAAAGTAAAGAAAATTATTAAATAAAACGCCAATCGAAACTACAATTATAAATATAAAAAATTACCATCTACTCTATAAAGTTCAACTTCTCTAGGAACTTCGTTAATAATAGAAGACCATCGATAATGTGAATCTAAAGAGGAGAAAAATAAGTTTCTCTTTTTTTTAAAAAAAGAAAATTTATACATTTAAATATAACATTATACATACGTTGCCTACGATCTGCTTTTAACTTGTCAATCATTTCTTTATCAACCTTACCTAGGGTCATACCTTTGAACAAAATAGAACCTAATTAAAATATTTTCGTGGAAAAGTCATGTGATAATATTAAAAAAAAAAATACTTACTTCTAGTAACTTCTCTTCGGCCATTATGAGTTTGATAATCTTCTCTGGCCTTTTCTTTGCCTTTGTTATCATTAGTTGCAGACCCGGCTGGATCTCTCTTAGAACCTAAGATAGAATAAGGCAAAAAAATTTTTAGAAGTCTTGAAGTATTTATTCATTTATAAAGTTGTAATGAAATTAATTTCATACTCGACTTTCGGATCATCGTAAGTAATTCTCCAGTTGTAGGATCAAAAAGTGTAAATGTTTCTGAATTTCTAGGTTCAGGTAAGTGTGGAAAATGTAACAATCGGCTTGTGTAGAAAGCTTGTGGGTGCACAGCGCCTGAATTGGTGATAACCGACTTCACTGATCCAGTTTTAATTTTCTTTGTTCTTGGACCTTGGAATGGAGCTTTACCATCGGAAAGATATCGCCATTTGGCGGATACATTTAATAAATCGGCCGCGGTTGGTCGCTTTGATGGATCGGCATCCCAGCACCGAAGCATAGCGGCCACGTAACCTTTAGGAGTTCCGGAAATGATTGGAGGTCGAAGTCCATTACAAATATCATTGGCTAGCGAATAATCGTGGGCACGATCAGAAAAAGGTGGTTCATTAGAAGACATCTCCCACATTATCATCCCCAGACTGTAAATATCTGCTTTTTGCGTGTAAGAATCTCCTCTTAACACCTCTGGAGCTACATAAGGAAGTACACCATAAACTTTTTTCGAATCCTCAGACTCATTTACTGGTCGACACATTCCTAAATCTGTGACATAGACGAGCTTTTCGTGCCGTAATATGTTCCCGCTATATATTTAAATATGATTAATTTTTACTACAACTTGAAAGCTAACCTTCTTTTTTTTTTACATTTAGTGCTTTTTTTACCTGTGAAAATCTCTGTGTACTAAACCAGAATCATGAATGCCTTGAAGACCTTTAGCAATACGGTCAAATAATATAATTTTCTCATCCCATGATAATTCAGCAAAATATTTTGTTAAATATTTTCGTAAACTTCCATGATCAGCAAATCGCATTACCATTACATATCGATTAGTTTCTGGATCTTTACTAACACCATAACAATCGATAATTCCCGATCCAAGACTACATCTATGATGTGCTCGAAGCTGTTAATTTTTTATAAAACAACAAAAACAAAATTTTAATCACAACCTACAACTAATGTATCTCCAAAGACAAAAAATTGCAATTTTACCTCGTCCAAAAAATCACTAGCTAGGCTCTCCGAATTATCAAGAAACTTGAGTGCAACTTTACCCCATGCACTAGATTTTGCTGAATAAACCAAACCGAAGCCACCTTGAGCTTCAAACTTAACATCTGAGAAACTGTCGAAATTAATCCAACGCATATAATCAAAAGGTGTATTCGCGTTTAGTTGAGTTTCTCTTATAAACTGGTCGAGTTCTTCGTTGCCACTTGTCCAATTCTTGAAATGAGCTTTTAGTTTTGCTGTGTCGCATGGTCGACACCACCCTATCGCGGTACGTGTTCCACCGCACTTTGAACACTTACTTAGTTTACTTGATTTTTCATTTTTATTAAGAGAAGGTGAACCAGATTTAGAAAAGGAATTAGGAGGCACAACGATACCGGCCTCCTTTGCTTTTTTGGCCAAATTATTGAAATAAGATATTTTGTTTTCAAAAGTAATAAAAAAATAAACCATAAAATAAATATTTTACAAAACATAAGAAACCTACCTAAGTGTTTAAGCATTGACGAGTAGTCCATTTTTGCTATACCGTTCCTTGTTTACAATTTTAAGTGGCGCAGTCAGATTGCAAAACTTCCTACGCTGTTCTCTCTTTTTTTTTATTATTATTAATACTATTAGCTAACCAGGCTATTGAATTTTAAAGAGAAAAAATCTAACGTGGGCTAATTCTTAGTTGAAAGAGAAATAAATTGATTTGATGGAATCGAGGATGAACGGGATGAACGGTCAAAAAGTTGCACTAGATAACTCCTTGAAGCATCCCTTCTTAAGTCTGTTTGTGGCAAAAAAATTCTTTTGTTTGGTTCACTCGTGTTCCGTTACTTTTTAAACTTCAATAGGTATGATCGTTGTCGTGCAAGTGTTTTCAATTCATATGAAGGCCTCGTGACACACCACTTTAACAGTAATATGAAACTATTTATTATATAACTTTAAAATCAGGTTTTGTTTTATTTATAGTTGGAAGTTAAGAATGGCTTTGAAACTTATTCGATCTTATCATAAACATTTTAACATCATCTAGTGATTTACGCCAGATTTGGGTTTGCAAAGAAATGCTGTTGTTGCAAATAAAAATTTTTCTAATTATGCAGATAAGAACCATTATAATACGCCGAGAGTAATCAAAAAGGCATATGTAACGCCAAAATGTGCCAAACTCTGAATATTCACGAGCTTTCTAAACTTTCTTTGGTCTTCGAATTAAATAGACTACTAAACTGGCAAAATTGCAATCTTGAATAGTTATTTCTAGTGCAGGTCGGCATGTTTCGCACGGCCCACAATTATACGAAAAAATTCCTTTTGCCCATAAAATCGTATTTCCTAAAGAGGTCCAATTTAATCTAGGCCATTTTAAAACTAGTTTTTACACAACTAATTAATTCACATAGAGACCAAAACATTTAGTTTTAAATAATTCTTACTAATTTTGGAATTCCACGTTTAATGGTTTGACCAAAGTTGTCGAACCACAAACGTAATCAGGGGCTTCACTTTGTGTTTGAGTATATTAAAAGGTATTTCATTTTTTTTATATGCGACTATTTTGGGCTAATGAACTTATTAAAATCACAACTTTTAAGGTGAATGAAATCCGATAACTGACCGCAGTACAAGCGCAGTAACAGGAAAAATCATTGTAATTTTTTATTTTGTTTCACGATTTTTTTTTTTTTTTGTATTACATTTGAAATCAGATGAAATAAAATCTTATCAAGGTTTTTTCCTATATTATACCCTTTTGCCCCAAACCCTGTTTGGCGTGATAATCCAGTAGCCGAACGATTACCTAGTGTATAAAAAAAAACCAAACATGACGTAGCATCAGCGGTTCAATAATTGCCGCAGCTACCGCAGTCAAAATTATTTGATCACAAAAATAAAAAAAAACCCTATTTTCCGCATCGGGGAATCGAACCCCGGCCGTCGCGGTGAAAGCGCGAAATCCTAACCACTGGACCAATGCGGATGAACTTCTTACTATGAGAATTTTATTACAATTGTAATATTTTTGATTAACTTTAGTTTGTGGCGCAGTATAACACCGTGAGATTTTCGTGCACGTGAGATTTATACAGGATGAAAAAAAAAGAGAAAGGATATGTAATTCCAATAAATTTGCAGTTTATATTTATGTTGTACTTTTATAATAAATTCTCTTTTTTCATAACTAAAATTTTACTATTTTGTTATTAATATTATAATATATTGGTATCTGGTATATCAAGACATCTAGTATGTAATGGCTGGACAGTTTCTTAAATCCGATTTTTTCTGCGCAAAGTGTTACGTAACAACGTAACGACTAATGATCACCGTATGTAATACGTAGATCAGCACTAAACCGTGATATTGCCCACATTCTGGAAGGTGAAGGAACTAAGCACAACTTTCATAATACTTTAAAAGAGAAGGAAAATCGTTTCAACTTAATTTAACGGAAAGGTAACTCCCAAACATTTTCCTACCTAATTCAGGAGTATCAGTATTCTTCCTGGTACCCACCTTCGCGTCTCGCGTCTATTTGAACTATTGGGGTATTGTACAAAAGAAATACGGAACTTTCTAACTTCTATTCTATTTCTAACAAAGTGGATTCAGAGCATAATGACTCAATTATAGGGAAGAAGGCAAGCAAATCTGGTATGTTTCGATTTTATCAATACATCTTCCAATAAAGTTATGATTTGTCTTTATAGCTTATGTTTATATACTGAAAGTCTTGGACTATTAAGCACTGCAAACAAATTTTAATCACAAAAAGTCCGTAAAGATTACGAAGATCTGATGACTTCACGCAATAAACGATTTCTTGACAATACTTTGGCGAATAATGAAGAAGTGTCCAAGAGGTCAGCATAGAATATAGTTTCGAATGTCTGCACAGTTAAAACTACTCCGAGTCTCTCCAGATCGACTCGAAATTAATATCACGCTATGATCTAGAAAAGTTGAAAAAGAATACTTGTCATTAGACCCTAATTGTATGTGGATGCTAAGCAAAGTGGAAGAGGTTATTTATAAATACGCGAGAAATTTACATTATTTCCTGATAATGAATGGAAAGAAAAGAAATTTTTAGTACAGAAGTTGAGAGCTCTCCAAACTTGAACGTTCTCTTATAGAATTAATGAAAATACACAATTGATGACATAACAAATCGGACTTTACTTTATAAATTACGCATACTCGGTATTTTGATTTTGTGGTAAAAACAAGAAAATCCATTTAATGATTCAAAATTAGAAGGGTAGTACGAGATGAATATTTGGGTCGTTTGATTGGTTCAGCTTTAGATAATCAGAAAAATTGATCTAGTGCGCGGAGAGGCATGAGTTACGCATCGGGAAAAACTATAAAAGGACAACAAATGATCAAAAGAAGAATGGACGTAAAGGAGATGACTATATGGGGATCGTTTAGAATTTGGGCCGATAGAGACTGGGAAGGAAACAACGGAACAAGGTACTTGAATGATTCTTTAAAATTAGAAGGACATGATATAACAGCTTATTATTTATTGCGTGTGATGAGAGAGATGATAAATGGCTTGATAAAGTCCTACTTATTTATAATAAATATTACTAGCTTAAGATATATAAAAATTAAAAATGAATTTAACTAATAATTCTGGATTTTAATTTGATAAGATTTTCATATTATAAATATTAGGGTAAATCTAAATCTCGCCCCAATGTGTGATGCTTAAGGCTCCAAAAAGGAATTTTTATGCCGATTATTTAATTCTGGGCAGAATTAAATACGTCCCGTGATTTAACGAAAAAAAAAAAAAAAAGTTTTGTCAAATAAGTCAAAGTATAACATTTAAAATCATCTTTGATGTTTTAAGTAGCATTTTTTATTACAGAATATGAGATTTAAGCATAATATAGGGAGGTAAAATACACATTTATTTTAAATATTATCATAATAGATTAAATAATAGTAAAATTATTTTTTTTATGATTATTAATTTTTATATAAATTTATTATTTAATAACTGTAGCTTACTGGGCATATCTGCAGGCCAGTTAGGATGTTTTTAGAATAGTTCTATATTTATATAAAATCAATATTTTAAATATTTTAATAAAACACTGCTGAATATTTTCTTTATACTAGTAATAATAATTAGTGAAATAATTTTATCTTTTAATGCTTTTAATGGGTTGATAATATCAAAAAGAAGGCCAGATGGGTAATATAATCTGTTATAAGTTTTATATTATATATAAAATTCTTCTTATTGGTTTAATTTAACTGATTTTGCTCTTTAAGATATTATTATATATCTTTGTCAGATTTTCTTTACAGTTGGTATACCATCTATTGATAAGAATCAATAGGTAAATAAGTTGAATAAAAAAAATATTTATAATTGAGAATTGGCAACTATCATTTATTGTATTTACATAACTCAAATTTATACAATTATAGTTAAAAGTTATTAATAATTAATTTTTAACCAAATCATCACTTAAACATTACTATTAGATGGAGATTGAAGATTTATTAAAGAACTTGGATGCATTTTGATTTCATTCACTCTTTATATATAGGTTTCATTGATAAAAAAAATTTTTGAGATATTCGCGTCAGGAAATTGAAAGAGAGAACGCAACAAGATCCGATGGATATAGACGTAGATAATAAGAATGTAACCGCGGCCTAATTCTGGGAAACTGTTAGCGTGGCCTTCAAGAGGTACATGACATCTATATTATTATGTTTGGAGCCTATAAGTATGGTTCTAATCCTGACCAAAATATTTCACAATCACAATCCATCAACCTTTAACTGGAAATTTCGCGTAGAAAAACAGCTTATACCTAAAAAATTGATTAATAAAAAAAAAAAAAAAGATAAGAAAAGTATTTCTTTACCTACAAAAGAAAAAAAGAAATTCTAAGGATAACAGACACGCTAAAAGGTTTGTTCATCTATGTACTTGTAACATTATTGTATATGAAATTTTTTTTATTATTTTCTTTCTTTTTTACTTATGTACCAACCAATTTCCAAATACGATGTTTAATAAAAACGTTAAGTGAAATTGGTGATACAGAGTGATGATGACTTCCTTTATTACTTTCGGAAAAAGGGTATGAATGATTTGACAAAGAAGGAGAAATTTATCCAATTTGAATACCAGCGATCCATTCAAGTTTGTCAATAAATTCATTGATTAAATATTGAAACGTACCATTTAAGTCACGGTTGTGTTATGTCAAGCTGGTAATTAAGTAAGAAGAAATCTTCATTAGAACAAAAAAAACTTGGGAAATGAAAACTTAACCAAAAAAGATGTCCAATAATAAAATACCATATCTAAAACTCCAAAACTTCCAACTTCTAAATATTTAAAAAGAAGAATCAATCACCAAATCCACTTTTAGCATTTTTATTACTGGTCTTGAAATAACTTTTCCAAAAAATCCTTACTACTTATAAAACCATTATATGTTAAATTCATATTAATACTCAAATTCGGTAAAATTTTCTTTACCTTTAACATATTCCGATCAGCAATAATAGGACCTAGACTTTTCTCATTTGTCATTTCATCTCTGACATCTTTTCAAGGTGACTTATAATATAGAATTATATTTAAATCCAATTTATTTTACAAGTGATAAAAGTGCATCGTGTAAAATTTTTTGCAGAAGTATCACATATCTAATTTGCCTGCAGTTCCGTCCAAAATTTTGCGGTGATTAACCTAAAAAATAAAAAATGCTTCAGAATAAGTGTCTTTGTTTCGTTTGAAAAAATGAAAATAAATGTATAATTTACATTTATAATAAATTTAGATACACGTTTTCCACCCATCCACTGTCAAACCGTTTGATCATATATTTTTCCTTCAATAATTTTCTAACAGCATCAATGATAGCTTTCATCCAATATTCAGTTAATTCAATATATAGATCACATTTAATTTCGTGTAATAGAGGTGGTTTCCAAGCGAAGAAATGAAAATGTTGTAGTATAAGTAAAATGAACAGCGTAATCTAACATAGCTCCTGATAGCAGGTTTAACCCTATTATAACTTTAATCATTAATTTGTCCCATTTTGAGTAAGGAAAACCATCTTGATATTTTTCTCCATACTATTTAATACATTAGTTACTGAATGAATTGTTAAACGTGAAATATTCGACGTGAGAATCGATAAGACTATTTATTAATGACAATCGTTGAGGTTTATCACGCGTCGCTTTAAGGGGAATTTAGGAAAGAATATAATTACAAGAATGGAGTTTAATATGACTGAAAACTTTACTGAGTAAAAGAAAGCAAGGCGAATTATCGCTCATGTTTGGCTATTTATTGATTTTATTCACCATGCCTTCATTTTTTAAAATTTATGAGGCTGTTTTCTATAATTTATTACTCTCACTCTAAATTATCTTTAAAATCGTTTTTTTTTTTAAAATGAAATATATAAATAAACAGATAAAAGATAATGCATGAAAGCAAAAGTTCAAAGCCCTGGAAAAAACATCCGATTTTGATGCGCAACAATCAATTTTCAAATGCAATGATGAAAAGATTGAAAAGCCTCGTAATTTTATATTTAAACTATGGTCAATCATATCCATAAATAGGGTATATAGCAAAAAAATTTGAAGCCATAATATCTTTCACATGATTCTCCAAGTAAATAAACGCATTTTTTTTTTTTTGATGAATTGAATAAATATGCTAAGCCAAAAATAATTCTTTCAACCCTTTTTTCTTAACATTGATCGTCATTAAAAAAAATGAATTATGAAAATGATAGAAAAGAGACAAGATCATTAAATTTATTAAAGAATATTAAAAAAATTTTTAGCTTCGTTGGACCAGGATATGGTAACTATTTAATAAAATAACAGATTTTATTTATTTTTTAACATAAATTAATTTTTTTCAATACTTTCAGTTATTGCAGTTGGATATCTTGATCCAGGAAATTGGGCGACAGATTTATCAGCAGGATCACAATTTGGATATAAATTATTATTCGTATTATTTTTTTCGAATATAATGACAATTATGTTACAATTATTATCAATTAAATTGGGATTAGTAGCAGGATTAGATTTAGCGCAAGCATGTAAAGCATTTTGGCCCAAATATATAAATTATATGCTTTACGTATTATGTGAATTAGCAATAATATCATATGATTTATCTGATGTAATCGGAAGTGCGATGGGATTAAAATTATTATTTTCTATACCATTACCATGGGGAGTAGCAATAACAACGATAAATGTAATGATTTTATTACTTTTTTATCGTAGAGAGGATATGAGAGGAGCAAGAATATTAGAATCAATGGTAATGATATTAATTGGAGTTGTAGGAATTTGTTTTATAATAGGATTGATTTATTCAAAACCTGATGGAAAAGAAGTTTTAAAAGGATTTTTACCAAATATAGAAATTTTTACCAATTCATCAGAATTATATATTACTATTGGTATAATTGGAGCAACGATTATGCCACAAAACTTATATTTACATTCATATTTTGTAAAAGCAAGAAAAAATTTACATTCAAAAGATAAGGAAAAGGATAAAGTAAAATTGATTAAAAATTTGATTAAATTATCGGTAAAAGATTTAATTATAGCAATAATAATAGCATTATTTATTAATGCATCGATATTAATAGTATCAGCAGCTTATAATAATTATAAAGTAGTAGCAAATTTCTCTGATACATATGAATTATTAAAAAGTTTTTTAGGAAAAGTGGCAGCGACAATATTTGCTTTAGCATTATTATTATCAGGACAAAGTTCAACAATGACCACTACAGTGGCAGGACAAATTATTATGGAAGGATTTATTGGAATAGGATTAACACCATGGATAAGAAGTTTAATGACTCGCAGTTTTGCTATTTTACCAGCAATGATAATCGCCATAATTAAAGGAGATAATGGATTAAATCAACTTTTAATAGCGACTCAAGTTATTTTAAGTATTTATTTACCTTTTGCTATTATACCTTTAACATATTTTACAAGTATAAAAAAAGTGATGAGAATTGATATTACAGATGAAGCAATTAATGAAGAAGGAGAAGGAGAAGGAGGAGAAAAAGGTGGAAAAGAAGTAGATTTTGATGAAAAATATTTTTATGATTTTTCTAATTCAATTTATTTAATAATTATATCATGTATAATTTGTATTATACTTTTAATTTTAAATATATATTTGATTTATTATATTATAATTGATTATGGAAATGTAAGTAAATAAAAAAAAAAATAGAAATTTTTAATAAAATATAAAATACATTTTTAATATAAGGTAAAAGTTCTAAAATTCCTAATAACGGGAATAATTTTTTTTGCTTTTTTATATACTTTACGACTAAATTTTATATCATTACCATCAAAATTAAAAGTATTTAAACTTTTATATCTTTCAGCATAATTAATTATAGCTTCCAAATATTTATCATCCATTCCATCAATATGTAATACTAAAACTTTTAATCTAGAAGAACAATTTTCAAATAAAATTTTTAACATTGTAGGAGTTAAATGAAAAGTTATATCTAAATAATATAAAGATTTTGGTATAGATTTTGCTATACGAACTATTAATTCAAAAGTTAAAGAAATTTTTCTATATTCAAATAAATATAAATATTCAATATTATTTAAAATTGATAATATAGGTAAAAAATGATCTAAAGTTAAATTATCAATAGTTAAATATAAATTTGAAATTTTTGAACAATATAAATTAATTATATCAAGTAATTCAGTTGTAACATTTTGAAATTTTAATTCTTTTAAATTTCTATTTGCCATTTTAATAATAATTCCTCTAACTAAAGTTAAAAAATGAGGATCATCACCATGATCATAACAAATTAATCTTTTTATAAAAATTTGTTGTTTTGATGAAGTTAAATTAGCAAAATCTTCCCTATTTAATTCTCTTTCATCTTGATCTTGTTCTCTAATAGTCCAAAATTCCAAAGTTTCTAAATTTTTACATTTTGTTAATACAGGTAATAATAAATGATATTGTGTAAATCTAGTTAAACTTAAATATGTTAAAGAATTTGATTGACTTTCTAATGCATCATAAAATAAATCTGAACAACAATTACTCCAAGTATTCCAAAATTCACAAATTTTAAGATATTTTAAATTATATTGATATTTAATTAAATCTAATATTGGTTTACAATATCTTAATTGTATTTGTTTTTTCTTTCCAATTTCAAGTAATATTGAAATATTTTGTAAATTACGATTAAATAATGATAATTTACTTGCAAGTTGAGAAAATCTTTCTGCTCTAGAAACCCAATTTTCATGAAATATTGTATCTTTTAATTCTAATGTTTCAAGTTTTGAAAATATTTGAAAAATTTCATTATTTGAATATAAATTTAATATATTAATTAATCCTGTACTATCATGATCATATTTAAGATGTCTCAAATTTTTTGAATGTGTTAATAAATATGGTCCTATTAATTGATTACATAATTCTGTCTTATATTTTAATTCTGCTGGACTTAATTTATCCATTAAATTTTTAGAATTTTGATGTAATCCTGTTTTTCCTACCCATTGACTTAATGCTATTTGAAAATTTAAACAATCAAATCCTTTTAAATATTTTGGATAATCAAATAATGGTTTTTTCTTTGGATCTGATAATTTTATTCCTTTATTTGCTAATAACTGTTTCTTTTCAATTGAAAGACATGAAATATATGTCCAAAAGATATTAATATTATTCCCATACATTGGATTTTCAAAAGGTCGTGACCAAAGTATTGGTATTGCCAATTCACTCCATGAACGATTGATTAATATACATGAGAAAAGTGTTGTTTTATCATCTTTTAAATATTTAAATATTTCTTCCAAACAATAATTTGTTAATTTTGTTGCAAATTTATTTGTCGTTCTAATGTTATTAGATTTCTTTTTGAAATTGTAATAATTATATATATTAATATTGTGTAAATTATGTGTTTCCATCATTGAATGATATTTATAATAAAAGTTTATACAAAGTAAGTTTATATAAAGTTTATACAGAGTTTATATAAAGTTTATACAAAGTTTGTATAAAGTTTATATAAAGTTTTAAAGGTTAAAATTTTTTTAAGCGGTTTTTTTTTTTTTTTTTCTTATTCCCAACGGAATTTCTATTTCTTCATTTATATTTATGTGTCCGACGTGTTTCAAACCAGATTTAGTGAATAATCCCGATGTAACGTCTAACTAAGATTACATCACAAGATATCAAAGATATCATTAAACACGTGTTAAAAGTTTGTGTTTCATGCTTCTTCCGCAGCTAAATCATGATACATACATTCTTTTTTTTTCATACTTTTCTATTTATGAATCTAATATTTATTAAATTGGTTATGATTTGACGATCATCAAGATCTACTTTTAAGATGTTCCCGAATATTAACGCTATAAAGTAATTTGTATGTGGGAATTTTTTTTGTGATTCTAAAAAAAAAAAAAATTCTAAAATTTACTGTTTTACAATTCTGTATAAAGA